CACATATTTAGGCTGTATGCGAGAAGGTCATGAGTTTCAACGTGTGTGGTTTTTTGATGATTCGGTCTATCTGTTAACTGCGGTTAACTGTGCTTTCAAAATAATTGTCTGTCCTATTTGATGTTTTGTTTTATTTTGTGTTTTTCAAGGTTGCAAGTGGCAAGACTCAAGAATTAATTCACTGGACTCACTGGAATATTGGACTCGATTGCCATCTATATTAGCATCGTTGTTTATATGTGTGTACTTTTCTTTTTATCCAACTCAATCAAAAATAAATAGACTTTATTGGGAAAACACGAATTCCTGATTTAATTATTTATTAGTCCCTAGTATATTTCTAAACGTAGAGGGATTTTTTTTTTTTTTTTTTTACAATTTGGATATATTAACCAATTAAATATCTAGAATTATTGCTGTTAGTTTAAGGGTTTAAAAGATAGAATTCATGTAAAGAAATTATTCATGGTCCGCAAAGACGTTTGATTGATTATAAGACATTAACAAGATTAAAAACACGATTGAAACCATTTTATGTTATTATGAATTAGATGGTAACTTCTAATATTATCAAACTTAAAGCATGACAAAATCTTCTAATGCATATAATCTCCACAGCTCACTGTGAAGCTAAACAGTTTTCTCCAGGAATATATAGAAAGTAGGCTATATAGGGGTAAAAACAATGTCTCATCACAAATTAAATCAACAAAATTAATTGCTTATAACTGCCTTTGTGGTTAAGGTGCAGTAAAATATGCCATAAGGTAATTAGATGTATAGAGAAAATGTAAAGTTTTGTTAGTTAAGGAAACCAGAACTACTGAAATAATGCTTGAGAATTTGAGTTAGAGACTATTGATTTAAAATCTCCAGGTTAAGTGAAAAAGCATAATTAATGTAATTTACCCTACAAAATAATACATTTAGAATCCATTATCAATTACATTGTCTGCAAAAAGATTATAACTCATTAACATTGTACAAATAAGAATGTATTTGGAAAATAGCAAAGATCATTTTGAGCTACAAGACATAATTGGATGTTTTTTTTAAAGTTTTTCCAAGAAATACTAAATTCAGCCTTTGGTTTTTAACAGGTGGAGATAAACATTTTACCTTTTACAGGCAAAAGCAAAATCTAATCCAACACTTATTAAAAATGACTAACATGGAAGTTAATAAGCCTTTTATGTTTACATCAACATTTTAGCTTTTAGATCAAACGTATTTCCAAACCTTTAACAAAAGGAAGCAGATTTATTAAAAAAATAATCACATATTTGTTTGTTGTGAGAGAAAGCTCACCCAGACCTCCGGGAATGCATCTGAAGTTGAAGTACACAAAGTGCTTTTGCACCTCATATTTTATGTTCTTTTTGTTGTCTCTGACACCTCCCTCCCACAGACAAGCTGGTAGATTTTTTTTTTCCTGGGTTTCCTCAAACGCGTCCATTTGCATTTTAAACATGTCAAGGAAATGGCTTCCGCCTCAGCTGCTGTCACCGTGTTTGGCAGACAAGCAAGGGGTGTCTGTTAATGTGACACAGACAAAATATACACCTTGCTGCAGATACCGCTGTGCAGCATGTGTTACAAGGCACTGCAGAAAAAAACAGTGTCACTTTCTAAAAGCAAGGTTCAGTTTCAGTTTAAAATTAGATGTATTCATGCAGTAATTGGCCTGATATTTTGTGCAACCAGTCGGTTAGGTAGTTAACTGTTAAGGGCATCTATCTATGAAGTATCTATAACATTGTATGAACTTCTATGTTTCAATGAAAAAACTAAGAAAAAAAGAGATGATATAAATCAGCAGTTCCAGTCAGCTTCAGTCATAAAACCTGAAAATGAGAAAAAGTTGAGCTTGGGCATTTACAGAAAACATAGTGTGCTAAATTATTAATAATAACAGAAAATTCTCCCATTTAGTTTAATATTATAGGCAACTAACGAGCTCATTTTGATATGAGTCTCCCTCTCTTCCCTCTATCAGCACACCTCTGCAGCTCTAATATTTCGCTGCCAGTACCAGCAAATTGGAAGAGTTGCTGAGCTGTTTCACAAGAGTGCCGCCGAGTTTCTGTGCTTAATGAATTGCTGAATGTGTTTGCAATCCTTGCAGCCAAAAATCCACTGAGCCTAACTAAACCTTCTTGATTTGACTTGTTACACTGAGGTTGAACATTTTCTTACTTGGGTCCTTTTTGCCACAGTTAACCCTATTATGTAAATCTTGGCCCTTTGTTTGCTTACCAACACTTTTCAGAACGGAAAAGGAGGGAATATACTTTACATCCTTGTTTAATACACTCAGAACAATCAGCTCTTTGTGTCAATATTTCCCCTTGGAAATTAGTTTCTTTGAATTTAGAGTACGAATACTATTAGTCTAAAAAATAATCTTTAATAATAAATAAATAAACTGAAATACAATACTTAGATTACAAAGTACTAGAAATGAAATAAATAAATAAAATAAATCACAAAATAAATAGATGAAGGAGACTTCTAAAACATCGGAAACATCTCAGCCCAAAAAAACCTTGAAGCGGATATTTTCAGGTTTACAAGTTCTACTGTTCCCAGTTAGTTCATAAGTTATTATTCCATGCTTTCTTCCTAATTCTTGAATTGAAACATATTCTTGCCATGTTCTATTACTAATTTCATCCTACACCAGCAAACTTTAAAAACATTCTTGAACTTTTTTTATTTTTATTGTGATTTCATTGCTATTTATTTTTATTTCTGTATTTTTTTGTTTTTATTCCTGTTTTATAAATTTTTTTTTTACATCTCTTTGTGATTGCTTAACTGTATGAGTGAAAGGCCCTTATTAAATATACTTTATTATTTCACTTACAAACCTTGACACTAATTGTTCTCTGTGTTAGTGTAAAGAATTTGCAAAAAAAAAAATTTTGACTAAAACCTGAATCTAACACATTGCTACTATATAAGAAGATTTATTAATAAAATATAAAGATGTTGGTCTTAAAAGGGAGCAAGTTGTTCAGATTGTTTGAAAGTTTCACCATTTCACTTATACAGTAGTAGTCCATTCAAAATGTCTCCACTTTCCTTGGCTGGTCCCCTGAGATTCCCTTTTAAACATCAATCCTTGTACTAAAATATTCTTTCTGTCATGACATTAAGATCTAATGAGAAGTGCCTTCTCTTGGTCAGACCCTGTAATTCAGTGAAAGGGTGAAGTCAGAGTAAAAAAAAAATATGCACGTCCAGGAGAAGGAAGGGGTCACTCCAGTGGCTATAATTTGGCTACCATTCAGCTGGCGTTTGACTGGGAAGGGCTACGTTAAATGGCTGCTACTGTATTGGAATTCTCTCTAAATTATTTCTATATTTACATAAGAAGAAGCCTTAAAGTTAGAAACAGTAATTTGGGCACACAGCCTCTTAATGAGCTGAATGTTGTGTAAGTTAATTGGCTGAGTGCTGTGAGAGTATGTGACCAAAGAAGAAAAGAACACAAGAGTGTTTTGAGACCAAAAACTGTTAAGCCCAGTAACAGTAACATCAGTTTGTACACTGTCTGTTGCACAGTTATGAGTCGGGCATAGAAATTTCCTTCAATGCCGCCCCAGTGAAAAACATCACACTAGCAAGATCTAGTATAGCTGACAGCTGGCATTTGTCCTACATGTTTCTTATTTACCCCTTGTCCCAACACTCACAAAGCTATTAAGCAGGGCCAGGCACTGTGTTACAGGGAGTAACAGGGAGATTCATGCAACAATATTGTCTATCCCTACCTGCCTATCTTTGAATTCCCTGGCACCTACCATTTACTGTTTTGCCTTTTTTAATAGCAGCTAGGTGAGAACAGCTTCTATCTGTCAAGTGAGACAGAGCCCTGCAGTTGTTCATGACAGGTAAACGTCAAATAAAAAATTCAAGGGATTAAAATCTGGTACTTGTCAGTTAAAGAAGCGGAAGGAAGGAGCTGGTGATGAAGAAGAGGGAGCGAAGCAATGATTACACTGTTTTGAAAGAGAGCGACATTGTGTTCGCTGTCATACCTTGTTGCATTAAGGAACCAACTCCAAACCAGAAGCTGTTAAAGAGAGTGAAGTTGTTCTCCACCACATCTGAGCCAGGATTACAGGGGTGAGCGTCATACCATTCGTATGGGCTAAACCTGGGGTAAAAGAAAAATAGATTAGAAAAATATTTTCTGTTAATCATATGAACTGAAATGTATAATTATTTGCTATGTCTGAAGTCCAACAGGGTACTGTAAGGTGGGTTTATCTGTCAGACTATCCCATTGAAATAAAAAAAAAAAAACTTTTCAAAGGAGCCCGGACAATTTATGCATCATAATATTAAACAACTATTTCAAAAGCTACACAATTTATACATAAAGTAGAAGCATAAAAAACATATAGTTAAGAAAGTCTCAGTTTTAGAGCCAAAAAACTAAACTTGTATCCAGAGTTATTCAGTTTAGCAACAGCTTTATACTCTATATTCAAGTTTACTATCAAGCTGAGATTATTAACCAGGAAGTCAATGCTAAAGATGTGTCTTAGATGGTTTATCAGAGAAAATATTCACACCCTAGTTTGTGAGAATGAGTCTAAACAGGCTGTGTCCAAGTAAGAATGGTATTCTGAAAATAAACTTCCAAGCATCTATTTTTTTGAGACCATCAAACATCAATAAACCAACATATAGTTACAGCACTCATACAAAAAAAAAAAAAAGGTTTTTAGAATGATAACATAATTCCTTAAGGGAGAACATACCTTAATCAACCTGATCCAATACGAAAAACTAAGTGCTTTTTATTTAAAGCAGAGATTGACTATATTTTGGGAAGTCATTTAAATGGGCCACACCAAGCCCTAATTGCTACCTGACTTTCAGAATTAAGAAGGGAATTTAAAAGGAAGTCTAAAAGATCTCCAAAGCAGCACAAGAGACCGATCTAACAGATTTCAAAGACAGATCAGAACAATATAATTTTGTAAAAGATAACAAAGTCAGGTAAAAACATTTAGAAACTTATCAGACAGATGACAACTTTACCAAGAGTTGGACAGCAACTCATCCAAGAATACATGAAATAACCCAGGACAATATAAAAAGCCCTACCAACCTCATTAGCATAATGCAAGACCACATTGTACGATTTAACAAATGGAAAGAGAGGAGTCTATGTTAGAGTTTAGAGGAGGAAACAAATGCAGAATAACAAAAAAAAAAATAAAGGATCATCTCAAATATCCCTAAAACCCTCTAAATGTCACTAAAATCTTTGGGAAAATATGTGCCAAATGGTCAAATTCTTATGATTGAAACAATACCAGGCATGGCAATTATCAAGAATATTCTAAGTAGGCTACTCCTTTTCATACACTTGGTAAATGGCCTGTTCTTGTATAGCATCTCTTCAAGTCAAGACACTCACATTCAGTTTTTCGGCCATTTACACACTGATGGTGAAAAACTACACTGTACAGATTTGTTCTGGGGCTCACTGACAGAACAATGTACACAGGTCATCTGTACAGGCACAGAGACATACAATGTATGTAGAAGAAGTGTCTGCCCCAAGGACCCAATGTCTGACACAGACAGAGCTGGGGTTTGGATTGGCAACCCCAATTGCTAGACGTACACCTGCATACTATGCCACTGTCACCCCTTACTTTCAAATGGCATACTGAGTAGGAGAGGTGGACAGACTGGAGCCGTCTATGAGACTTATTAAGTTCCAAAATATACAGAATATTGTACGTTAATTGCGTATAAAAATAAATTACTGGCATTAAAAGCAAATTGTGTGATCATGTATTACTGTGTTAACCTTAACATTGCAATGTGCAAGTGTTTTTTTTTATGGTTCAAAATAACAAGCCCCTCTCCATTCCTCAACTCATCCTGCTGTCTCTTCTTTCTTCACTTTTCGCACTAAACTCTTAGTACCTTTTTCAAACACAGGTGTGAGAAGTAATGAAACACTGGCAGAAGCAGGAGGATGTACCACTGAGGATAGAGCCCATATTTTTCTTGAACACTAAACAACTTTGATTTAATCAGTTATAACTATGTACCAAACCATGACCTGATCAAAGCTATTAGCCAAACATTACTCAATAAAATTTCATGCTGCCATTATACATTTTTACTGTAGCTAGAAAATTAAAAGAATTGTTTGGCCACTGTGGTATCAGTTTTATCTAATAAAACATGACATTAAAACACCTTGAAACCTGTTTAGTCTGAGTTTTAGGCATTGACTTTGGTCACCCTGCTTTTTGAAATAAGGTGAATGATTATAAATGCATTTCAGAGGGTATTAAATGTCATATTTAAGATTCTTAAACCGTTTGTCATTTGCTTTGCTATCTGCATCACACTACTAATATAAATGTTGTTTTTGAAGGCAGATGCTGAAATGTCACTTTAAAGATTAAACAAGTTAAAGTCTTTGGATAATGCTGTTGTCTCATTCTTTATTCTTTGATGTAGTTTTCCCAAACAGATACAAAAGGCTGATTGTGGTAATCTAAAATCAGACTTCTTGGACTGTTTTAAATCATTTTCATATTCAAATTCAGCTCTGATACAGTAATAATTTTGAATGACAAATTAAAATTTCAATTAAAACAGATATAAACTTCTGTTATAAAAAAAAGAATCCTTCTAACACTACTCTAAATATTTTTAATATAACAAGTTTTGACATTTTTGAACGTATACTCTGGATAGATGATGTGGTGAAGTTGCATTCAGTTTGTGATTGCTCATCTGGATGGTATCTGCTGTTAGACTTTGTGTGCCTGTTGCGAATTGCTACCCTTTCGATAAATCTTTTCAACCTCATTTTGTGTTACTTAAATGTTAAAATGGAAAGCCATTGCCAAATAATTATATGATGGTGAAGAGGCACAGAGAGTCCAAAAGACCTTCTGTGCAGCTGAAAGATACATGAATAGAGCTTAAAATGGTCATAAATGATTTGAGTGCATTTTTTTGAATCAAGACATTATTGCAGGATTTTTTTTAGGCATTTTTCATGCTGCAGCTTAATGGCAGAGTGCCTTCTAGTTACATAGAATTTGGGGGTCATTTTGTACACATTGCCATGACTACAAGCCAACTTGGGTGAGATTACTCTCAATGACCTCATAAAGCTTGCATATATGCTGAGGGCAAATATCTAATAGTAAGTACTTTATAGTGCTGTATAGTACATTATGCATATTTCTCCCTCTCTAAAAGCGTTAGAATCTCAGTCAGAGCTCTCTGCTGTCTTCAGATCATATCATTTTAGCAGTAAAAATCAGATATTGTGCCACTTATGTAAATCTTCAATTATGTTTTGAACACAAAAAAATTAGTTTGCAGATAACCTAATTTGCTCATTCATTGATTCAACATATTCAGTTAAAACACAAATGGATCATATAGGTGCCCAGAAAGTATGGAAAATTGACTCCCTCTAAATAGAGGTGTATAGAAATATGTTTTGCAATGGCTAGCAACAACTAAGATAATTGTAGATTTCAGAAGAAACAGAAACTATTAGCATCATGGTAGAAGAAGTGGAGGTGGTGGAGGAGTATAAATACCTCTTAGTTCACCTTGACAAAAACACGACTGAAGATGCAACTATGAAGTCGTGTACCAGAAGGAACAGAGCAGACTGTACTTCTTAAGGAAGCTTAGCTCCTTCAGTGTTTGCAGCAAGATACCATATATCCTTTATTCTAAAATAATTTCCTGCAAAGGTTTAATAAAATAATTCTGATTCTGATTATAAGTCTGCTGTGGAGAGTATGATCTATTCAGCAATCATGAACAACATCAGAGAAAAGTACTTAAAAGAATCTCAACAAGCTGATAAAGTAAGTTAGCTCTGCTTTAGCAACTTATCTACAACTTCTGTAGATGATTTTCCAAGGATTTCTTCATAAAAAGAAAAACAATCCTTCCTGCCTAAAGCTGTCAACATAACTTGAATAACTTGTCAAAATAACTTGATTAAAAAGAAATTAAATTAAATTTAGTGGAATTGAACTGAATTCCACGGAATTGAACTGTAAATTAAAGTCTATTTTGCTTGATAGATAACTATAAATATATAAAAACAAAGTACCATTCATTACGCCACACATCTTTATCTTTATCTTTTTTAATGCTGTGGTGCTCAGTTACTCTATAGTTATCTTGTGGGTTTTTTTTAATTCAATGACAAATGTGATTTGAAAGGGGAAATAATTTTAAAAGTAAAATAAAAAAAAAAAAATCACACTGATGTCAAAACTAATGTTATTTGAGATTAGTTTTTATATTTCATGAATTAAAGATAATCAAAAATAGATTTCTCTCTCAAAACTATTTTCTTCTCTCGATTGCTCTTGATTCAGGATTTTTTCTCGATGTGAAAAATGTGTCACCTGCAGACCTGTGTTCCTATTGGCCAGCCTCGACAGAATTGACAGTTGACAGCTACTAGTATAATTTCCTCTGTCCTGTGATACTTTTTTTTTTTTGTTTCCGTCTGGGCTACAGAATCTCTAGGTTTTAGAATTCCTTTTAACTAAATCTGTTTAAATTTAGCCTGACTGTCTTCTATCTTTTCTCCTGTTCAACACTATGAAATGACACATTTTTGTTTGAACTGTGCTGTTTTTTTCCCTCTCAAATAGATACAGAAAAGTGTCAGATCTCTCTCAATTGAATTGGATGTTCTTTTGTCTTTCCCAATTTGTAGAGTGGCTGCAGTTGATTCACAATTGGAGCATTTTGGTTTAGGATTCTTGATCAGGAACCCAGAGTTGCAGTCTGTGTTCTCCAATCAGAGATGTTGTGACTTGAAGAGAGGCAAATGTGCTGGTATTTAACTACTGGGAACCACTTCCTACAACAGTTATGAAATTGTACAGTAAAGATCTAAACCAACAGACCAAATGTGGACATTTTTAATAAAACAATATTTTAAAACCAAAGCCTAATTTGGAAAAAGTAAGTAATACCAGAAATTGTGAAGAAGGCTATAACGTATATATTTGGTTTATTTTCCATTATATTCAAGGACTCTTTAGTTACTCTCTGTTTCCCCCTTGCGCTTGTTTCCTTTCCCCTTGGCTTCCTTCTAGTTATTCCCACTCACACCTGCTCCTTATTCAGCTAATTAATCCATCCTTTGTTCTGTTCCCCTTATATACACCACCTCTGCAGTCAATCAGCACTGGTTCCTTGTTGTTATTTTGTTTTCCCCTGGTCCCTGGCTTCCCACATGAGTTTTCCCTGATGCTTTGTGGTTTTTTTTGGGTCTTAGTATTTTGGATTTTTGGTTGTCTACCTCTGTTTTCCATTAAATATACAAGATTCACCTCTGCCTCCTTGTCTCTGAATTTGGGTCCTTAACCAATCTCCATACAAATTGTGACAATATTACCCCTTTCTGTCTGAAAGAACCCTTTAATTATCATGTACATTAACTTTCATGTACATTTAAGGGTATTTAAGTAAATTCACTTTTCTCTGGCTCAGACAGACCTTAAATTGACTGAGCTATCCCTTAGTGAATAATTTCAAAAAATTTAAATGATTTTAAACTGATGTAAAGCCACTCCAAGACGAGTCTAGTCTCAGAGCAGCAAATGAGGATCGAGGAGTGCAGCTGTTTGCTCTCAAGCCCTTGAACTTCCTCCAGTGTCTGTTTTTTTAGAACTTCCTCAAGCACCACTTTGCATGAGAAGCAGCAGGAAATGAAGTCAGTGACACTAAAAGGATATTAATCGTATTCATGACCAAAGAAAAACAGAAAACAGATAATATCCAACTAAAATTCGAAGCTGGCTGCATGAACCTCAAAATTCTTAAAATATGTAAATGGTGTTAATCAACTATAAATAACACCCTAAGATATAATTTCACATCAGGTGTGTATGTTTTTTTATGCTCCTGAATGTGATAATTACACAAAATCTCTTCTTTTTTCTTAAAGTTTTTTTTTAAACCCGCTTTCAACTTTCAAAGACATACAGGAAACCAGAAATTACTCACTGAATGGGACCTTACAACCATACTTGAAGGCTTTTTTGTGTTCTCTTCACACTACTGCGCTGTTGAGAGCTCATGTGGACATAACTGCCTTGATCACTACCCAGCAGTTAACGCAGTATGATAAACTGGACTCATGTACTCAAATCTCAGCCAGTAATGATAACAGAGTAAATTACTGTGACTCGTGGAGATGTATGAAGGACTGAAAGGACAAACGGCTTAAAGCATCTGTACTTACCTTGCAATGACAAAAAGAACGCAGCTAACACCTAGGTATGCCAGAAGAATATACACCCAGATGTCTGGAGTCATGGGGTTCAGGAAGGAAAAGAAGCCGCTGTTTGTGGCATTGGGCCTTCGATAAAGGATGCTGATGCCCGTACTCATGAAGGGCTTTGAGAAGTCAACGACTTTCTCACGCATGTAGGTAATGGTGAGAGGGGCCACTGCCAAGTCTGCTCTCTGAAAAGGAAAAATAAAATGGTTATATGTATTTTTTTTTTCTTTGTTTTTTCAAAAAAAGTAACTTTAGAAAACTTGAGTTAACATCATGCATCTATACATTCATTTTAACCTGGGGAGACACAGAGAGAAGCTGAAATTAGAAATGTTTTATTCAATTCAAATGCAGTTTACTTATACAGGTAACACAGACAGATTGGTCAAATGTTTTCTATCTAATGAAAACTAGCTGGTTGGATTACTCTCTTCAATTCCTCTCACCAAGCAACAATGGTGAGGAAAACTCCCTTTTACAGGAAGAAAGCTCCGGCAGATCCAGGCTCAGTGTGAGTGACCTTCTGCAAAAGGCCAACTGGAGTTCAAGGAGATAGAAGCATATATGCAGATATTGACATAAATTAAAAAAGTTCCTTGGGAAAGAGTAATCTTTCCCCAGGGCCCGGACACTGGTGGTGGAATAAACTAGAGCGTGAGTGGGATTGAGAATACTCTAAGACTGGGGGAGGAGATGGGGCGGAGGTGGATGAAAGTTTGCTTGAGTGCAGCAGAGAGAAGCAAGTCCAGAAGCTAAATGAAGGAGATCTTGAAAGAAGTTTGGCTTTGGAGGCTTTGTGGCCCCGAGATCATCGGCTGAAGCTGGACGAGGGACATCACGAGTGGTTGAGCTGAAGCTGATAAGATTCTTCCAGATTACATTTTTTTCTTAAGCTTCATCTGTTAATCAACTGACAAAAATGTCAATTTCTGATTCACTGTACATTAATAAAGTTGCAATATTCCCTTGAATTTTTTTTAGCTTTGTTTAATATCAATATAGTAGCTCAATATGAATTGCCTGAATGCAATGTGACTGACAAAAAAAAAACATAGTTGTTAAGTGGAAGGAAAACTTCTGAATAGATTTTTTTAATATAATAAAATTCAAACTAAGTTGTGCATTTACTTTTACCCTCTTTACTTTGACAGCCATAAATAAAATGCAGTGTATGCAACGGCCCATACAAGTCACCACATTAGTAAACTGGCCAACTGTGCTTCTCACAAAAAATGCAGCTGATCTGTGAAGGTATCAGAGGTTTGTTGAATAACATTAAGGGGAAAATAGAATCAAGAACAGCAAAGAACACACCAGAAAGGTCAGAAATGGTTGCAGAGAAATTTAAAGCATTCTTAGTTTATAAAGCAATATTTCCTTGGCAGGGAGAGAGAAGATGGTCAGAGATGGACAGATACAGTTTAGTCCGAGGGAAGAACAAAAGGAAACTTTTGTATTAGTGACTGAGTATATAGAGTTAATGGTCTTGTGGGAAAACAAACATAAACATACAGCTGAAAGATTGAAAATGGATGCTTTCTTTTCTGTCTCAATGAGCTGCAGCTTTCCTGTCAAAATTAAGGGGTGAAGATTTCAGCCTTGGTCATATTATCAGAACAAGGTAGTTCTACAAAGTATTGATTCAAGAGGGTTGGATGTACTGTAAATGCATTTCCCAGAAATTATTTATTTATTTTTAATCTAATTCTAACTTACCTTCTCCTTCAGAGAGCTATGAAGATTTCTTTTTTATATATATATATATATATATATATATATAACTTATATGTGCAATAATAGTCTCTGATTGATGCTGAGAAAATATACCAATAGGTTAGCAAGGTTGTAAGGATGGGAATGCATACAGGAATAAATAAATACGCAAGGTACAAATTAAGCTGCGGTCATTAACAACCGCCAACAACTATGGAAGTATGCCTAGAGTGTAAATTCATACGTTCTTCAATATCAATGCCCCAACCTTTTTGTATGCTGTTCAACCTAACAACAACCACCATCCACTTCCCCTACACGATGGCTGAGCAGGAGGTTAATGAAACCAGCTGCTTGGTTCACGCATGGATACCCTTTTCCCTTCAAAGAAACGGTACAACCCACAAAGGGAGGCTTTCTTTACGTCCTACATGTTGAGAGGAGTAACAGGGCAGAAATACACAACTGTTCACTATACCACATTTAACACATCAACTGAGTGTTTTGTTTCTTTGTTTTCTTTTGTTTTGTAGTTGTTTTAGCAAAAAGCAATGCTATAAGACTTATTTCAAAAGGGATTCAAATGAATGGCACGCAGGAACACACATTTACAAAGAGTACAATAAAAGCTTTGTGATTTAACGTGTCAGAATTTTTACTTGAGCCCTTTATCAAATATTCCAACATACACTTACAATATTTATCCCCAGTTTGAAATCATCTTTTTTAGACAGCTCTCGGCCCAGATTTATGTGATACCTTCAATACAAGTACACACGGGTCAGAAATGAAACATTTTCACTTTGCATGTGGTACCTAGAATTATGTGCTCCTGTGGTCTGCACCATGGTGGATAAACACACAGTTGATAGAAGGGTAGAGAAATCCGAACATCCTGCTGTGTACTCAGAGTTTTTCTTAAACTATTCAAATTCCCATATCACATTCTGCTCCCTGTATTCTTTGCTACCAACCGCAGCTTTTTACCAGTCTCCCCATCAGCCATAAGATCAAGCCAGCATGTCATTCCAGAGATCCCTGCAGTGGGTTAATATACATGCTGCAGGTTCTTATTCTGCTTTTGGCTCATGGACACAAGCAATACAAAGACAGTACCCTAATATGTTCTACATGCCATCTGGGTTTGCAGATAGTGGGCTTTACAGTGATGCCCTCTTACCTGATAACCCGGAGGACAATTGCTAACACGGACATAATCACCATAATATTAAGAGGAATTAATATGTAGCACTTTTAGTTAGAGCTATACATGATCAAGGCGTTGATGTACAGTAATTGAGTACTACAATGTTTTTTTTTGTTTTTTTCCTGGGGTACATTTCTGTATGCTACTGTAACTGCTGTTCTTAGACAGAGTAACATGGCTTAGATGAAATTATGTTTCACTAAACACATTTTTTCTAACTGCAGAGGCAATATATTTGTGGATTAAATAGTTTTAACTACATACACCATATGAAAAATTATAATAAATTTTAAGTTAATGTAAAGAAAAGAAAATCTGTACTTTCACATTTTCCCCAATAAAACCCAAAATTCAATGTAAGTAACAAAGTATAATGTGAAAGTAAAAGATTAGGGGTCTTTATTATTATAGATATAAAAAAATAATAATTAAAATGTGATGTTTAAGAGTGCTCAGGGAGGTGTTCAATGGGATTTTGTTGTATTAATTACTTCCCTATCCTTTGTAGCACATACCCTGATCTCCATAAGGGTGTTTATTTGCTAATCTAATAAATCTTTGAGGCCTTCAGCAAAATATTGTATTATAAAAACTGTTGGACCCTATTTACATTTCGGTGTCCCTCTGAAGGCATATGGTTGTAGCTAACTTTACTTTGGGTAACACTTGTAAGGCATAATGTTTTATTTGCCACATATATATTTTTAAAACACTATTAAAATAAAAGCATTGAAAATTATGCACTACACTGTGTTGCACAACTACACACTATCTAAAAAAAAATGCATTAAAGATTTTGATTTGGATTGTGTAAAAAAACTAAGATAAAAGGAAATCAAGGGGCCTAAAGAGCTTTTCAAATTTATGTTCACAGAAATACACATATGACAAATAAAAGTGTAGGATTTATCCTTTGCCAAATTATGTAAACATCTGATAAAAAGCTAAAATATACAAGATGTCTGCTGCTGTCCTGTTATCTGTGGACACTTTTTAGAGTTTATTAAATAACTTAATAAACATTTGCTTTTAATGTCTGCTTTGCATAAATGTATTTTGTTTTATTTTGCTAGTTTAAATAGGAATAATGTCAGGTTTGGTGGAGGTTGGTTGAGGACCCAAATGCAGAGATGAGTTCTTACAGGTTTAATTAAATCAAAAAGGAAACAGAGACAAAATCCAAGAACCCAAATACAGGAAACCAAAAACCAAGAGACATCAGGGAGAAAAACACACATGGAGAGCCAAGTAACAACAAGAAACCAATGAAAGAGTCAATGAAAAGGAGGTGTATATATGGGAGACAGAAACAATGGGAGGACTAATTATCTGATAGGGAGCAGGTGTAGACAAAAGTAACCAGTAGGAGCTGAGGGAAAGGAGATTGGTACAAGGGGGCAACAGAAAGCAACTCAAAAAATACAACACTGTTTAAATATAACACAAAATGGAAAAGAAACCAATAAACAACAAAACACAGAATAACATAAATCAAATTGGAACTGAAAACTTTAAAAGAAACTCAAAGAGAAGTCCACACAAGTCAAAATCATGGCAGATTATAACCAGTGGACCTGAAATAGCTGCTTTTTCAGATGTTAGTTTATTTTTGGTGCTTGCAGGTATGAGCATGTTTAAGAATGGAAGCACAATGAGGTCTGTTGTGGATATTGTGACCTCTTTAGTTAACTTTTTTTGGGTGGAGGTATTAGATCAATTGACTCAAGTATGCTTCACAACACCAATAGAAAGGGCTGGTTTTGTTCTGGGAACTCATCTAGAACCATTGGAGATGATTTAAAAAGAAGAATTTTTCATAAAATTCACAACATAACAGTGTCTTCATTAAAAAACCTCTCCAATCATGCTGTGATGTAGACCACTGCAGGTCTTTCCTTTTATTAGCAATTAACTTCTACAAAACCACAATGAAAAGAAACTGTATGTAAAGTTTACAAAGGCCGGTGATATTTGCCTGGGTTTATTAAAATATTTTTGAATTAAATTTAGAAGTTGTGCAAAAATAATAAAGTTAGTATTTAGTTGTAAACTTAAGCTGATTTATTTCAGTGTAGTTTAACCTAATAACCTTGCAGCAACAGGCCCAACTGTAAGTCACATTTTTCAACAAGTCACCCTGAAAATCAAAGTCACACTTGTACATCAGCTAGTTAAACGTCTTTCAGGGGGAAAAAAACAGCTCTATGGTACAGCATAATTAATTAACCTTTTTTTTTTCTTTTATCATAAATCTTTCTGACAAGC